AGTCGTAGATCTCCCGCATGGCCACGCCGCCCACGTTCACGAAGAACACCAGCCGCAGGAGGACCAGGGAGTGCTCCGGGGGCAGCCACAGCACGAACTTCAGGTAGAACGTGTTCAGCTCTGCCAACAAAAACTGGGGGACAGGGGAGTGTGGGCGGCGAGCCCGAGCCCAGCGGGCCGTGCTCGGGAGGCGGCCGGCCTTACCACCAGGATGATGCCGCACACGGCCAGCCAGCGGCGCAGGCTGGAGGCGGGCTTCCACTCGAAGCGGACCCAGCTGTAGGGCGTGAACTGGAAAGCGATCCTCTTCATCTTGCCCCTGGAGCCGGGGGTGGGGGATGGGAGGGCCTCAGCAGGTTCCTAGTCCCGTGCCCCCCACCCCATGATGGACAGGAGAGGAGACCCACTCCCCAGCCCTGGCCTCCCAGGTCTTTTCCTGAACTTTCTTTCTTTTAAATTCAAAATAAAAATGGCAGAGCCTGCGACCACGCCATGAGGGCAGCCGCTGGCCAGACAGCACGGGCTGACGTCCCAGCCACTGGGAGGGCCTTTGAGGCTCCCACGGGCAGCCCAGGGTCAAATCCCAGGTGGGGAGTACAGGAGGCAAAACCCTCATCCGTCCCCTCCCGAGACACGTCGGATGGCACAGGGCCTGACCCTCAGGGCCCTCCAGGCCCCACCCCGATGCCCAGGCCCTGCAGCACCACACTGGGCAGACGTACTTGTAGGTCGGAATGTTCCAGAGGCCCTGCCACTTGTACGTCTTCAGGGACAGCCACTTGAGGGTCTTCATGCCGCAGTAGATGCCCAGCCCATTGCAGATCAGCACGTCCATGATCCACTGGAGGCGGGAGGCAGCCCCGTGGACCCTGCAGCTCCGTCTGGCCTCCCCTGAGCCCCTCCCCCCTCCCCCGCAGGGTGGGCGGGCCTTGGTGTGGGACACAGGCCTCAGGCCAGGCCAGGGCGGAAGCCCTCCCATCATGGGCACCTACGTGGTCCCACCAGCACTCGCTGAAGTTGGGCAGCTGGTGCTCCAGGCTGTACTCCAGGAACTCGAACATCACGCTCACAATGGTGCACGTCCACCAGTCGCGGATCATCAGGGTCTGCGGGCGGGGCAAGGGCATGCCCGCTGCGTCAGCCCCTCCCGAAGCCGCCCTCACTCGGGAGCAGGGCAGGCACAGGGCGGGGCCGGGGTCTTCTCCGTTGTTCTCACGGCCACCACACCACATGCCATGGACGGGCGCCCGGGCGGTCTTGCGCTGTGGCCCCCAGCGTTGCTCATCAGAGTCAGACCACTCTCAACGTCAACCCGTGACCAGCAAAGGCCCCGGACACAGGGCGGGTGGCAGACAGGACATGCCAGCCGACCATGAGCCTCACCTTCAGGTACCAGCCGATAAAGTGCGCGGGCACGAAGCCATCCAGCTTGTCCTGTGGGTGAGACGCAGGCCTCATACCCCCCCTCAACCCTGTGCAGCCCCCACAGCCCTGCCCGGGACCAGGTCCTGTGCTGTCCTCACAGCCCGAGGCCTCCCTCCCCTGTGCACACCCAGGGCCCCTTGCACAGCGCCTGCCAGGCCCCAGGGACGATCTGGGGTCTCACACACGTGTTGAGGCGTGTGTGGACACACCCGAACCCGAGGACACAGGGTGCCCCTCCAATGGGGACCGCCCCCCACTGCATCCTGCCCCGCCCCCCGGGCGACCTTACCCAGACGTTGTGGAAGGGGTCTGTCTCGTTGTCTGCGTCGTAGATGAGGCAGTTCCCCCCATAGTCCCTCTCCGGCAGCGGAACCCCCAGCCTGGGGTCCACGTACTTCAGAAACTGGCGGCCATCCTGCACGGTCTGCAAGGCCAGCGTCCGCGTGAGTGGGCCCCGCCCCCGCCCGGCACTGACACCTCCAGCCGTCCAGGGGGACGGGTTTGTGGTGCGCAGACGACACTTACTTCCGTCGACCACACGCTGCCCCCTACTCGGGGCTGAGCGGACTGGGGAGTCCCGAGCTCCAGGTGACGCTCCGCACCCCACAGGACCAGGCCGTGTGGGGTCACAGGTGCGCCTCCCGTGGGAGCACTGGGGTCTCCGATCGCTGGTCTCGCTGCCCCTCCCCACGACGCACAGCGTCAGGAAGCCCCTCCCTCTCGCAGACACCAACATAAGCACACACCCTGGGACCGCGGTGACGGAGGAGGTGTCCCCCACATGCTCATCACTAAGACCCTGTCCCCCACCCGCCCCAGGGAGCAGCCCAGCGAGGCTGCGTGACAGGCGGCACTCAGACCTGCGTCTGTCCCTCGGCCGAGGCCCTCCTGTCACACCACCGAGGCCCTCCTGTCCCACGGCCGAGCTGAGGTCACCCATGGGCTCTGTAACCTCGGGTCTGGGGTGAGCAGGGCGGAGTCCTGACCAGCGGCCAGCCAGCGGGGCAGAGTCTTGGATACTCAGCCCTGCAGTGTGAACACCGCACAGATGTAAGAAGCCACAGAGGGGAACCAAGATGGCGGCATAAGGTATAGACCTGTGCGTGCTGCCCCCCACAACATCGAAACTACAGCTATAAGACAAAACAGCTATCATCCAGAACCACGGAAAGCTGGCCGAGTGGAAGTTCTACAACTAGAAGGAAAGAAAGAAGCGCACTGAGACCGGGTAGGAGGTGCAGAGGCGCCAAGAGCAGAGGTACGGAGGTGCGTGCGAGGGGGGCACCTGGATGCACATTTTTTTTCAATTGGAAGGGGATACAAGCTCTTGAATGCACTGAGCTCCTTTAGGCGAGACTCTGGGGTCCCAGACTCCTACGGGGAGAAACTGGACTGTCTTGCAGCGGTTTGGGAAGTGAGGGGGGCTTTCTCGCAGAGCTGCTCGCAGGGATCATTGCTGCTGTGGGGGCGCGGGACTGCAGAGACGC